GAGGTGGGTGAAGACAGGGCCCGTTCGTGGCGTGCGGAAAAGGGCAATCCCGGTCCACGATCGTCCTTCTTATTCGGATAGCAAGCGTTCTGGTCAAGGGCGGGGCGTTTGGAACGTCTCATGGGATCTGAAAGGTGATTGTTGGATCGATGGTGGTCGACCAAGGTTAATCGATGGAATTCATTACTGCTGGGTTCCTCTCTCGACTTTGACTGCAGCGATACTTGCTGGTGCTGCTGTCTTTGTCGGACAGCTCTAGATCCCAGAAACTTAATGAGAAATAAAGATATGCGGGCGAAGGCTCGTGAAGGCGTACCTAGAAGTCTTGCTGTTGAAAATTGGCGACGACGAGGACGTGGCGCTAGGGCCAGAAGGCTGAGAGGTTTCTGACAGGCCTGCTTTTGGTCTGAACCGTGACATGGTGTCGGCTGCAGTGGGAGATCTGAATGTCTTTGGATGTTGAACCCCGATAGCGAAACTCGCGTAAAGTGGAACGAGAGCCAATTTCGATGAGTCAGAGTGAAAATGGAGAGAGACTGTGACCCAGGCGAAGGAGATTCTTATACGTACTATTGATGATACTTCGCCTTGTCTTGTACTCTGTGAAGGCTTCGCTAACCAAAAAGGCAACCACCAAGTGAAAATACGCGTTCGAGGGCAATCAGAATTGTACGGGCCTGTCTGGCTCGACGCCTGGTCGAATCAAAGGTCACTCGCACCTGTTTGCCTTTTATATGGAGCCACCATGCGCCTGTATGGCAGGGGCCAATGTTTCTCCTTGCTCGTAACAGAATACGCCTCGTGTAGAACCCTCTGACCTATTTGGCTAATAGGACAAGTCGAGGACGAAATACGAAATAATCATTGGTTTCGCACGATTGATGAAGCCACTTTCCTTCGCAATAGTAGGCTAGGCCATGAATGTTGATTCTACAAGAAACCAGGAGAATATTGAACTCCCAGCTTCGTTTACTGAGTTGCCAGCTGTTCAGCTTCAAAACCAGGGTTTGGTTTGAGTGGCGAGTAAAGCCACACTTATTTTGCAAAAGGTGCCCAAACCCTTGGTTCCACCTGAAGAATGCCGTCGAAACCGCCCTCTATACCACCTATCTGTAGACACGTCAGGTTTCGACTTGCAGAGACTAGCAACCCCGTCGTGGAGGCTCCATCTGATTACCAAATGCGACCTGTATGCGTACCTCGAGTCGTATCCTTTCTCAAGCCGCTCATACGGTTGGATTGGCTGAGTTTTGATCGTAGTGCTGCGCAAAATTGTCGTCGTCGGTGATGTTAACATCATTCATTGCGTCGACATGACTTTGAGATAGATATGTTTGCTGCGACTGCCAGGAGTAAAGCTGTTGATAGGGATTGTACAAGTTCGGACGGGGTGATAGTGATGGTAGCGCCAATCCGTATGTGATTTCTTCATTAAAGATCGTTTCGTAATGATCGGCACCATTTTCTGGAGATTGCCGAGAGTCGTAGGCGGTGGCTATCCTGTCTTACACGTCAATAACAGACGCATTTACAGGGATCAAACATACCACGAAACATTGTTATCAAACCGGAGCTCGAATCCTGAACGCTCGTTCCCAGTAGTGTTCCAGCCGAGAGAAGACAGCTGGGAGTGTAGGTTCTTGGATGAACTTAATGTGGTCTGTCGGGTAATGTCCTCGAATCTTGAGGAAGTGATATCCTCAGGGCCTCGCGCTAACGGGATACCCTCAACTGCGATATCTCGCTCAGAAAGGCTCAGATGGGTTGCTGCCATTAATGCTCGTGGTGGACACACATCGGGTTCTCTTTTGAAGGCGAGTCCATCATTGTACTCGAGCAGGGTTTTAAAACCGTCTTGATTGTCAACCACGTATGTGTCCGGGCAAGAGTGTTCCACCTTTTTCTCTTGTCCTTCGTCGGCCATCGACCCAGCCGCAAAATGTGGTAGATCATCTACTGACATAGACCCGGAGCTGTTGTAGGTCCTTGCGGGTGAGTTGGCTATTTAGAGGTCAGTAGGGGCTTTTCGTGCCGCCATATAGAAGACTTACGATCCAATTTGCTGTTTTCGATTCGCGTGATTTTCTGTATCCGGTCTTGCACCCGTGTTGTCTCATCTCTAAATGTCAGGCGAAGAGCGTAGTCGCAAGTATAACCCTGCCGAGTACAGAGGGCACACTTTGGTCGCTGTTCATCACATTTCCTCTTGCGTGTGCGGCATGTCCAGCATCCAGTTCGTGATCGGAGCGGGAACCGTGCGCGCAGAGGAACAGTCGAGGCCAACTGACCACTACGGGTCAAGCTAGCCGAGGATGAGCGGTCATCCTTGGGTGCAGGGACGGGCAGCCGCGGTGGTGGTCGCTTGTCGTCGTGCATCAGAAAGGTCGTTAGCAAGAAACGGCTCTGGGAAACAATCAGCATGACCACAAAACAGGAGATAAAGACTCAGATGACCGGCTATCGTCAAGCTAATATACAACAGAAGGGTAAAACGCAGACCATTGAAAACATCTGGTCGGTAGGCTGGTTGTGGAGATTGGCTATCCAAGCTGTCATCAGAGAGCTCGAGAGACTGGGTCCTAAGTCTTCGATCCTTCTGTGAAGTCGCTCGTGTCTGTGGAAGGGAGAATGGCAGTCGTTCAAAACTGCAAAAGTTCTGAGCGAAGAAGGAGGCAGCCGTACCAGGGAGGCAAGAAGTAGCGAAAGACAGTCTCCAGATCAGCCCTCTTCAGAGCCCTATGTGGGGGTGAAGTACAAAAGGGGGTTGAGACTAGGAAATGGTTTAACAAGTGAGAATGATGAGTCCAGAATGCAACAGAGAGCGAAGAGACTTTATGTTCGAAACGCCATTTTGGCCTAGTCAAGACCAAATCCCGCGATTGTGGCCGTGAGCTGCAGGCGGACGTGAATTTTGGGGGAATCTGGGTGCTCCTACGGAGACTACACGCTGCGTTTTTGTCGAAGAGAGAATGTAAGACCAAAGAACAATAGGTGAGTGTTATTAAATACAGCCACTTGTGGTTTCACGCCTTGATACTCCTCCTAAATCTGTTGGCGCCCTAGAGGTAAAATGCACGCTTCTTTTTGAACTATAGCTCAGGAGCTGAGATCTGAGAAGGCAATAAATACAGCTTTCTACAACAACATTCGCTGGCCCGGCCAACGACGAATGACAAGATGACAGTGTAAGCCCCCGGAGTTCCTCACCTAACATCCTCTCGAGTCAAGACCCTTCCATCGAGTCAAGGTCTCCTCCTTGGGATTTTGGCATTCCGCCCACCTAAGCCCCCCTCTGCGGATCGCTTCGTGCGATCCCTCGGAATCATCAGCGGAAATAGACTTGGATTTAGCTCAGCTGGTTTACCGAGCAGCAATGCTAGGCTGTTCACCGCTGACTTGAGTTCCCCCAAAGTAAGAGAGTTCGGGAACATGGCAGAGCCGCTGAGCTTCTCGGTAAGCCTGGTAAATCGCTCTTCGTCCCAAAATTTTGACATATCCGGATCGGCAGATGAAACTCCATAATGAAGACAAACCAGATGAGCACTGCGCTCCCAATCCCAGTCCAATTGTTCTGGTATTATTGGAGGGATACTTTGATCTGGCAGGCGCTGTAGCTTGTCGAGAATAATGTTCCTCCATAGCTTCAACTCCTTAGACGCAACCATTGTGGAAGATATAGAATTGAAAGCATGATGAACACTTTTCCAGCTCTCTTTGTCCAGCGTTCGCGTCCAAGTTTCTGGATGCCGTTGAATGATATCATCTAGTGGTCGCTCGTCACCAGTGCGATAATGATCTCCTGTGGTTACATACAAGCAAGAGAGAATCAGCAACAGCTGTTCGTAGGAAAATCTCTGGTCTGTTGCCTGAGAGTCGATAGATTCCTCGGACACTTGAACGACCTCGTGGTAGTTCCCAGTTGCAGTTGAGTCTATGTCGATAGTAGTAGAATCTTGCCCGGGCGACCCTTCTGACTGGTTCGGATCCAATAATAGCGACTCGATATCCATGAAGTTGACCTGAATGCTATGTGAGAGAATGAGTTGTGCCTGCTGGTTCTGAAGAGAATGTAAAGAAGCATGCGAAAAGAGACTGTAAGATAGAAAAGGTGGAAGCACTGAACTGTTTAATACTGCGCACACAAGCTGCCAAGATGCAATAGGCACAACACCGTCGAATCTATCATTCAGCCATGTGTATTCTCACAGTAATTTCTCTGGAATTACCAGCAGAGTGGCTTGAGGCTGAGCCTCATCATTAAACATGCTTCCCAGTGCAGTGACACATTTACAGTACTGTTTACCCTGAGCAATTTAAGCAGTGCTCAGTGAAGAAGCTACCATTCTGCCTAAATATCCGAATCCATACACGCCATTTCAGCCTAATCAGAACCAAATTTCGCTTCAAGTTTCCCGGACACTGAGACAATTCCAGATTGAACCCATCCATGGTGACCATGATCTACACATGGACACGATCATAGTGATCTTTGTAGACCAATGCTGCCGACTTACTCAAAATATCGACGTAGTAGACGCGACACGTTCCTTGTAACCCCCCCCCCCCCCAAAGCCGACGATAAATGGCCAGTCGAAAGCGATCCTTCCATGTCCAGCCATAGTTTTCGATATCTGCAATCTCTAAAAAGGATGTGCCGTCAAATCCTGTGTAGACATTGACTGCTGCCTGTCACGTTTCGTTGACCTTCCTTATCTGCTCTTCTTTGCAGAGGAGCACTTGAAGGCCGCTTTCATGAGTGAATTCGGCGGTGTCTCACCAAATTACCCAAGCAGGAAAATGGCTGCACGGAGGTTAGACAGTCTGTTTTCCCTCGCTGGGACCGAAACTGGGCATACCTTGCTACATCGCTCGCACATATAAGGCTTCTCTCCGGTATGCACTCGCATGTGTCTAGTCAAATTAGGTCTCCGGGTGAATCGCTTCCCGCAGCCTTCGAAATCACAAGCATGTGGTTTGATGCCGCTGTGAATTAGCTCTGTAAGAAAGTTAGCGAAGAGCTTTCGCAGCCAAGGGTTGGCCATACTATGTCGCGCAATTTCGCTGCGAGACGCAAATGCCTTTGGTGCGGACTCGATCTTCTGTCTGATGGCACCAAAGTTATCGTCAACCATGGTCGGCTTACTGGACCGGGTTCTGAAGCGACTGGGACCTATTTTCTTTTGATGATTACTTACGCTTTGGATCGAGGATATTTTTCTATCGAGTATTAGAGGATTCTCAGAAGTTTGAATGCGAGACGTACCTGCAATTTCGCGACGCAACGTAGTCGGAGTTTCTGAAGCCAAACTAGGGCAACTCAAAGTCCCGGGATCAATGGTTCGAAGATCAATCTCATGAAACCCTTCCCGGCGGCTTTCTTCATTGTGTCTTTGGTACAAGTCGCCCCCTCTTGAAGAGACACTCGGGGATTCCTCAAGGATATTCCCGTTAATATCAGATCTCTCGTGCAATGATTTGACTTGAACTTCCAGTGTACCTCCGATGGTTTTCAACGTGAGAAAGGTAATTGCGCCGAATTCAATATTTTGTAGATGATACTGCAAGGCGTCGTATAGAGCTTCACTCTTAGCGTCCAAAGGAAGCATCCTGAGACCTGCTTCCAAGGAGCCATACTCGCAGTTCTGGTATTGACAATGGATTATAACCGAATAATGGAAATAAGTGATGAAGAACTTTCCATGATCTGGATATTCTAAGATCTTGTTCAATTTCCAAGAACCAAGTATGTATGTTGACGTCACGGGCTTAGGATAGCGGCTGTCACGGCGAGAAGAGTTGAGAAGAGAGTGATCAGTGTAGACGGTCGGATAGGGTTGTGAGGAAAGAGACATGTCGGATCCATCGGATCCGTTGGATGCCTCCATAGTGCTCGTAGCTCGCGTCTGAGTGAGTGTTTGTTCTGATTGGACATCCGAGTACGCGGGACGGGTTTTGACAGTTTGGCGGTCGATAGCTTAACACTGAAGAGGGATCAGCCGGGCTGTTCCTGGGGAGGACAGGATGGTGCCAGAATGGTGGACGAAACTGTCGAAGCGGACAAGAATGTCTCTAGCAGCGTGTATCGTGGGGGCTTGTTCACTTATCGGCTCAATCTCGAATCCCAGGCAGTTGATTCAGTAGGCTTACCAAAGTCTGGCACCTGGTGGATGGCTTGAATTCCAGGACGCTTGCCCACCAATGCCTGACGACAACGCCATCCTTCCGAACAGCTCATATCATCAGTGGCTTGATATATAGTGTCAAGCATTGAAAAAAGGAGAGCGAGACCCCTTTCTAGCGGCTCAGTATGGCGCTGCCTGACTTTTCCTTTCTAGATCTGTTTTCGGGCGAACTTGGAGTGACATGTCTCAGCAACTGTGTCTAAACGGGTCGCGAAACGAAAGGACTGGAGATTGTGATCGTCGATCTTTTACCCCTGTCAGTGGCTTTTATTGCCTCGTGTACTGGTAAAACACTTACCACGGAGAGAGATGACAAGGAGGGGAAGGTGGATGTGAAGTGGCGCTGTAGTCAAGCTGAGCCGACCTTGGGCAGAAAGGACCGACTGGCTTGACCACAACGTTTTACATTTATTTCGCCATTATGCTATGTGTCTTCCGTGCTCAGTCTTCGAAATCTAGATTTCGAATCAGAGCTGACCAGACACGAGCGACAAGATGGAGTCATCCGTCTTATCCGTATACGTCTTCTTTTGCGTGTCCCATCGCGCTAGATTCGCATCCTGGTGGATTGCCGGTCCTCGAGAAAAGGAATAGTACCGTATAGCATTGCAGGAGATGGCAATCATAATTGGATTGCACCCTCCACCCCCTTAGACTCGCCTCACGAGGCTTGGGGCCCGGCGATAATCAGACCAGGGTGGCTGGAGGGACGCTCCTCCTCATCTAGCGGTATAGTGCGACTCTAAGGATCCAATCTGGACTTAAAGCTCTGGGTCGTTGTTGCCTATGTGTCTCTCCGTGTCCTTCAAGCCCCTACCGAGGCTTCGATTGCAATTAGTGAACTTTGGGGAGGCTGGCTCGTGGCACTGAGGCTTAAAAAGGTCATGCATAGTCTGATTTCTGTCATCTGTGGAAGCGAACAGAACTCGACGACAGAAGGACACATACAGCGTTTTATACTCTCTTTCTCCGTAGCTGTGTGTATCTGATCTCATGGTTTTTGTGCGTAGATAATATGACTATTGCTAGGTTAGTGGTAACGGCGATCGAGGACGGTATACATACAGTTCCATGGACAGGCGCAATTGTCGACATATTTTTAACTCCTTCCGAACCTCCGCGAGATACACTTGACAACTGGTGTAGTTTTCCCTCAGACCATAGATCCATGGTAGGAGCGTCAATGCTTCCAGTTCCTCCTCAAGTGCCGCTTGCCAGAAACCACCTATCTCTTTCTGTCATAATATCAGCCGTCTTTTCGGTTTTCCTCGATAAACAGAATTACCAATCTCGGGTCCTTTGGCCATTTTCCAAGAGGTACAGCAAACTTCTTGTGCTCGATATTGTGGAAACCGATCTTCTGGAGTTGTCGAGGAAGCTCGTGGTGTACATTCAGCTCTCTCCCGGTCGCGGACAGCCCCTCTGACAGCCTACGATGTAAATCCCGAATCTTGCTTTCCTCGCTCCGGGGGCCTTCTCGGTGAGATTGCGGATCCAGGGCCAAAAGTTGAAATTCTACATAGCCTTGATCCTCGAGACTTCTGTTACATGTTAGCCCCATACTTCATCTCGCCTTGTAGACCAATCCTGCTGACTTACTCAAAACATCGACGTAGTAGACGCGACAAGTTCTTTGTAAACCCCCCAGGCCCACGGTAAATGACCAATCGAAAGCGATCCTTCCATGTCCAGTCCTCGTTTTCGATATCGGCAATCTCGAAGACGAGGTTGGACGGAACCCATTCGTCGTGCATTAGACTCTCGTCAACACCGGTCACTGAACAACTCGGGTTTTCGTCCGCGATGTCCACGGCCAATTTGCCCGTTCTGGTGTATAGGTCAAGCACTTTTCCGTTTTCCAGATTGACGGGCGCACAGAATGTCCGATTCTGCAGTACTTCCTGAAATAAGAGATGTCGGGCCAAGTGATCGTCTTGTGCGCCATCATCGATGGGAGACGGGAAGCCTGAGCTTAATTTGAGCGATGCTGAGGAACATGAAGAAACGGTAGCACATACTACGTCCATATTGTCGAGTACATAACCACCAATATCCTAGTTGATTCTCGTCCAATTCACAGGTACTAGAAGCCCCCCTGAAATTCTGGTTAGATATTGCCAGCTTAGACACACCGGGAAATGGTTCAAACCCTGGGCTTTCGAATGCTGAGTCTGTGGGCGACTGGTGCCTGATAAGCCTTGAAAAATGATTGTGTAGAGTTCAGATCTTACTTGGATCAATGCCCTATGATCACCGGGCTCAGGAGTTGTCGTCATGAGGATTTTCGAAGATTGATCGCGCTTGAAGAAAGCACAGAAAGACAACGAGTTTCATGTACGTCAGCACATTCGTTGATGAAAGCGAAGAAGCGAAAGCTTCACAGTCGCTTGTGGGGGGGACCTGATAGGGGCTGATAGAAGAGAAAGCAAATTCGGGGAAAGCACAGCAGGTGATAAGAGATACTTATGCCCGTGGGTCAGCTCCTGGTGGTCACGCTTAAGAGCGTAAGGATGAACGATCGTAATATATCTCAAGCTGAAATACGCAGCTTCATGAGGGAAGGACGCAGACACACAGCTAGCCATGACCCTCTTGGTGGAGATTGTATTCTGTGACGCTATCACCACAAGCCTGGCTGTGGCGGGTTTTCGCCGCCCGGATTTCAACTGAAGGAAGAGCAACATACAAGGGAGAAGGGGCTACGCTCCTGGAGCAAACCCCGGAGAGATGTTCCTCTTACTTGTTCTACGCTTGCGTATCCCGGAGCTCGGGAGTTACTATCCCCCATAGAAAACCAGTACAGCAAGATATGATATCTCTATGCCATGAAATTGGTCATTTCCTTGGTTCAGCACGGAAGTTCAAACTCAATGCTACTTTAGGTGACAGCACAGAATGTCAATTGTGCTGAGCAAAATAGCGACGAAGGAGCCGTTGATGGAGTTTGCCCGTTTCTCCACATAGTACCAATGGTCCATCTTTCAGCAGCTTCCCGTCCAATTTCAACATGTGACCGTCGTAGCTGACCACGCACCTCCGTTCCCGCGTATGCCATTCACAGAGATGACCATGGACCTTGACAGTTGGAGCTGGGGAAAAAATGACCTCTCCGCGAAGCTTCGCTGGTTGAATAATCATCTCGTCGATCAACCTCGCTGGGAGAACAATTCCTTCTCCGAGACATGCCGTCGGGAAAAGCTCGAAGTATCGTTCCTCATCGCCATCAATTCGAGCTATGATGGCGCAGTACATCAATCTTTCTCGCAGCTTATCGAGCATTTCAATGATGCGCTCGTGCTCCTCGGAAGGCCCCGAATTTCGACTGGCCCAGTGATACAATGCAAGAACGGCCGATTCCAGGGGCACCTGTGATTCATGAACAATCTGGTCATCCGACTTGAGGACCTCTTTGAATTCAACGAGCCACTTGCTATCGTGGATCTGGACCATTGGTGTCTCATTGCTCGAGTGGAAGATGAGGCTCAATGGTTGTTCCTCGGAGGGCATCTCAAAGGATGATAAGAGAGTTTGAATTGAGTGACGGAGCCCTTCGATTGACTTTTCTGAGTCTTTCATGACGTTTTCCTTCATTTCGAAATTTCGATCACGACGACTGAGCAGTTGATTATCGACAATGTCAGTTGCCTTCTGAAATAGGGTGGCGTTTTTGGATTACTCACCGAGAGCCACTGTATGAGAGTGTCTCAACTGCGGTCCTTTCTGGGAAGGTCTGCGCTTTTGTCGACGGGAGAGTGTAAGGTGGAGGGGAGAGATAAATAAGGACTGGAGGAAAGGAGAGTTGAGGGGGGCAGACACGTTGAGGTTTAAGAATATTGCTTTCAGGCAGTAACTGTTCTCTCCGGCCTGATTTACTACTTCAAGAGTGACCAAATGACCATCTAAGCTCCGTACTACTGTCAACAAGACCCATAACCAACACTACTCTAACCCTATTCTTGAGTAAACATAGCGCGTCACGAGCCGAAGCTCAAGTGCTGTCATATGCGTCGTAACTCCAGCCGAGTTGATGTTTCTCCATCTACGATTCTATGGATAGACTATTTCCGTTGTTCCTCGACGCATTGTACTCGGTACACTAATTTTGGCCAGTTTCGAGGGTTGCTTAGCAACAGGGTGAACTCATTCGGCTTGAGGGACAACAAAAACTTCTCAGTTTGAAAGTCCCTGATCATGTCAAGAGAAACTATCAACCTATAACTCCTCATTGTGGTGGCTGAAAAGAAATCAATAAAGGCTGGGGATTTTGACTTCCACGACGGCCATTCAAAGATCATACCCTTATGTTGTTCATCATTCAGAAGTATTTCTATCGTATCAAGTGATGATAGAAGGATCGCACAAAGGTTGTGTCTCCGACGGTCGTTGGCAAGTTTGGCGGCTAGCATTTCATGACGAATGGCCTGTGTTGACACGAACCGGCCTTTAGCTACCTCCTGCCACTTCGTGAAATCTTCACACTCATCCTCAAGCAAAGGATGGGGATAGAGAGCCTCTCTAAGAACCTTGAGAAAGAGTGTGCAAGCAGAGAATGCATCCATATTCTCAGAGCATGGATATCCAAACAGTGTAATCTGGGTTGAGATGCTATGAGGAATGCGTATCATGATCGTGTCATGATATGGTGACTTGTACCATTGCACCCGTGAGGTGGGTGTTGTAGAATTTGGCGTAGTAGATTGAGTCGATGAACTCTTTGATCGTTGCTCCGTATCGCCCGAAGTGCCATGATTTTCAAGAGAAGGAGTTTCACAGCTGCTATCTGAACGCCAGCTATATTGGTGTGTGGTAGGCAAATGGCCTGCTGTCGTCTTTGTCGTTGACATGTCTGCGGACCTTAATATAGGTCGCTCTGTTTCTTCTTCTCGTTGGGGAGGGCATCAGTGGATCATGCAATACAGTTGCTCTTAGAGTTCCGGCGAATGTTGTGTAAATCTGTGCCGAGCGACGTCTCAATACTTTCTGAAGAACAGTTGTAGTCTGAGCAGGTGAGCGCTCCCTTCTAGGAGGCCATCAGTGGATTCTTGAATGTTTCGAATCCTGTGTTGGGCGAGGTTCCAATGCCGGCTGAAGACTTGGCGGCAGTCGTGGCAGGTGAAAGCTTTCTTTTAGTGCGCTTGTTGTTAATGTCTCGCCAGGTTGTAGTCGTGCGAGAACTTCGCTCCGTATCCTCCAGAAGGGACTTTGTAAGTCTTCCAAGATCCAAACAGAAAGTGTGTAGGTGATTAGGAATTCCAGAAGAATGGAATGTCAATTGTGACAAAAAGCGACGCATGTAGCACCTCAACTAAGAGGAAAGAAACGCCTCAAAAGTTTTTTGATTTAGATCGATTGTGCACTCCAGGATGTTCTTGTGGGTAAATCACTTATTAGTTAATTTAAGGGGGCACATGTGGCAATGCCATGCCTTATACTATATCTAATAAACCTCGGATCAACCATCGGAATCGCACGGAGCAAATCGTTGTGCAGTCATCTTGCAAAAATGCCGACAGCAAAAAGGAGAGCAACCAAATTGGGTATCCAGTCTTTGACTAACCCCCTGCTTGTCCATGTAGCTAGGTTACTTCAAGTCAAAAAGCCATGCAGAAATCACGCCTTAGATCAGAGAGGTCCTGATTAACTCAACAGATGGGAGATATGAAGGAATGACATTGATTACGCTTAAGACTTCCTTATCATAGACCATCCAGGTGTTGAACCACTCACTAGGACCACCGAAAACCCTGCCTTGACGCATGAGCCAACGTGCTCCGTCACCCAGTTCGCCGGCCATTCCTCTTGACTGTTGAAGACTAGTCTTCCAACGATCTGACTGGTCCCCAGCTGACCGTAATTAGGTACCTGTTGAAGGCCTGTTTTCGCAGTTCCAGCACTACCCAAAGAGCCTCATGCTGTTGTGATATCTGCCACGCGGGGCCTCTCTGCCTTAGATGATCGAGGAAGGTCAGAGAGATCGGGAAAGAATGACTCGGTCAGCGCAGTATGGCTTTAGACCGGGAGAGCTCCCAATTCTGACCGATTGAACATCCTATTCCCAGGTGGAAGGAGGACTGTTCTCTGCCTTCTTATAATCGTCTTTCAACCCCCAAGGTTCGAGTTTGTATCTTCCCAGTCGCAAACTCGCATGATGAAACTCAACGTCCCTCTCTAGATAGAACACTTGAAGGTCTATATCTGCTGGCTCCAGACCTTTAAGTCCCTTCCACACGCTCCTAAGGAACTTCAATACAGTAGAGCAATGACAAACAACGATCGCGTAGTCCAGGAGTGTATGGTGCTTCTCGGTGGACACCATCGCATCGGTTAGAGTCTCGCTCACCAGTATTGACCAGGATGTGATCTTTCGTTTGTCCCGTGCTGTTTCAAAGGTCTTCTTTACTTCGGACCAACCGTCGTCAAGCAGCTTCATGAGGTGATCCTCCTTTTCGCGATTCGTTGTATACTCCTTCTTCGATGCTTCTCGGAATTCCTTGCAGATGTGGTCAATCCACTGGGGGCCCATGGTGTAGATTTTCGATACTTTCGTGAGGTCGTGCGTCTCTGTGGAAGGAAGAATGGTAAGTCTTTCAACGCTGTAGGGCTCGGACCGGATAAATGTCAAGTACAAGAGAGCTCAAGATGGGAGAACAACAAGAGAATCGGGGCGGGCAGAGCGTCAAAGTCTGAGAGGTTGAAAAGGTTCCTTGTTCTCTGTGGAAGGCTTCCAGGGGATGCCTGGACTATGTACATGACTAGAAAAATATTGAAGGCCAAGGAATGAATCTTTAGTGGTCGGTATACGGCCTAGATGCCTCTCCACCCCGTCTTAACTTACTACAACCCACAACTCCGGAGAACTGATAAAAGCCCTTTTTTGATATCCTATTATTCATGAGCTGATCTTTGGGATCCACGCCAATCGGTGGGAGAGAGATTACTACACCATTGTGAGATTGTGCTTGCCACTTTATACCACTACTGATTGCAATTGGGACGACCAATGGGCATGATACATTCCTTCTTTTTCGATCAACTCGGAGTGGGTTCCCATCTCCTCTATGCGACCCTTACGAAGCACAATAATGAGATCTGCCTTTTTGATGGTCGAGAGTCGATGAGTAATAACAATCTTGGTGGGCGGACCATTCGAGTTAACGTTGTCGACAGCGTTCATCATTCGAGCTTCAGTGATAGAGTCAACGGCCGATGTAGGTTCATCGAGGATCATCACCTTTGGTCGCCTCAAAAGGACCCGAGCCATAGCAATTCGCTGTTTCTGTCCACCGGACAATCGTTTGCCTCTCTCACCTGCTTTTGTCTCGTAACCCTCTCCAAATTTCATGATCGAATCATGGAGTCCCACCACCTTGCAGACTTCTCTCACTTCTTCATCGCTGGCGTCGAGCCTCCCGAACCGAACATTCTCCAAGATAGAACGGTCAAAGATGAAAGAATCTTGAGACACAATTCCAACCGTCTCTCTCAGACTGGCCAGTGTGACATCCCGAATATCTTGACCATCAATCCTAATGGTGCCACTGGTAGGGTCGTCCTGTCGAAGTAAGAGGTTGACAAGGGCGGATTTGCCTCCACCGCTTTCGCCCACAATTCCCACGGTCGATCCACCGGGAACTTCGAAGGTAATGTTGTCAAGTCCGTCAGTTAGTCCGGGATATGTAAAGCAAACATCCTTGAATGAAACGTCCCCAGCTCGTGTAACTAACTGTGAGTCTCCGCTGATCACAGTAGGTTTTGCGTCGAATACATTGGCGAGCTTCTCTGTAGCCACCAGCTTCTGCCCAGAATCTCGTAAACTCTTGGTGAGTCCTTTGAGGTTTTTGGATATTCCAATCCAGTAAGTGACCAGGACAATGAAGCTGGAAGCTTCCGCCTCTTTCTTGGTCCCCAATATCGTGGCAAAAGCCGCTCCGAACAGCGCCATGTTCAGAAACACTTCCTGGGCATTGGATACGCAAATGTATCCGATAAAATATATTCCTTCTCTCCTAAAAAATTCGGTCAATGTTTCCAAGAATCTGCGAGATTCGGAATCTTGTCGGCGGAAGTACACAATGGTTTGCCGATTCTGGATCGATTCTTGCAATTCATGTTGGTATTGTCGACGCTTCTCAAGATAAGATCTGTTTGGTTCGGACAGCCAACATGTTCCATAATGCCCCAAGATCATATAGGTGCCACTGGACAAGAAAATTGCCAGTGTGACGCAACCATTAATGGTATAGTAGAGATAGATCATGGCAACAACAAGATCGATCACCACGGGAGCCAACCTCAAAATCATATCCTCAATCATAAAACTGACGTCCTGACCATCGTTGAGAGCCCCAATGAGGTCGGTGGATCGTTCGCTACGAAAGAAGTCCGCAGAAAGGTTCAAGATGTGGGCGTGGAAAGATCCAGCTATCTTCTTCATTGCGCCTTGGGAGACTCGTATCGCAGCTGCTTCCTCTGGAAGGCTAAAGTCAAGCAGAACTTTAAGAGACATCCAGGAACAAACTTTAATGATGGTCTCCCACTCATTGATGGACTCCGAGTGAATGCTGTCCACAATCATACCCACTTGGCGTGGTATGAACACCTGTAAGGTGCGGTCCTTGAAAAAGACAAGAACCATCGTCAACATGCTCATTTGTGTCTTCCAGTCGCTCGAAGGGTAGATGTAAGGAATGAGGACGCCAAACTGTCTGAGATATGCAGTTTTGGAAAGCCATGTGTGGACGAGAAGAAGACGGAGTCGTTCGATTGAGAACCACGATCGTTGTCGTGAGTTCTGAAGTTTGGTCTGGTTGGAGTTCCAGGGACCGGCCAAGCTCGTTCCATAGGTCGCTGGGGCAGGTAAGAGCCTCTCTTGGTCACAATCCGTCTTGTGAAACAGAGCCAGACTCGACAAATGACTCTCGATATGCCGGCGGAGATCGTGCCAGAACTTCATTGCCATGGAGGATGTATGTATTCAACAATCAGTTCAAGGTAATCTTTCACTCCAGTTGAGGTTGCTACCTGGAGCATAGGAAGTTGAGAGGCGACCGACGGAGTGATCACTCTATCTTATACTCGACTCAATTTGGCGCACCTTGGGAAAGCCCAGGATACGAGTAGACCTTGTCGAAAGGAGAGTGCAAGGTGGAGGGGAGAGATAAGTAAGACTGAGGGGGCAGACACGTTGAGGTTTAAGAATCTTACTTTCGGACAGTATCTGTTCTCTCCGGCCTGAGTTACTACCTCAAGGGTGACCAAGTGACCATCTAAGCTCCTTACTACTGCCAACAAGATCCATAACCAACACTACTCTAAGCCTATTCTTGAAGTTGATCTTGTGCCTTATGAATCTCCCAACTATAAGTCCTCGAGAGAGTGAGAAGACTCAGCGTCGACCAAGTAAGCATGTGAGTAGTGCTTGTGAGGGTTGTAGAAAGCGAAGAAGAAAGGTATGTTGCTTAATCATCTAAATGATCGTTGCATTTAACAGCGAACTAGTGTAATGGCGAGCAACCATGTAATGAATGCGCAAAGCTGAAATGGACCTGTCAATATCAAACCAGGAAAGACCAGAGAACAAAGGGTATCCGTCAAAAACAGGCATCGGCGGAAAGGTTAATAGATAGGATCTTAAAAGTATGCCAAGATAACAGGAGTCCCGAGTTCGGGAGTCTCATGAAGGTCTTGGGCTCTGGACCCTCGTATGAGGATATTTGTAGGGAGCTCGACGAACCAGTCGTGAGGACAAATGAAGAGTCTCCGAATGACGTTCAGCAAGCGCAGACAATTTCGCCTTTCTACCAACCCAACTATGATGAGCATGGTCTCCAGACTCCCCTTCCGCACATGCAACCACCCACAGATACAGGGAACTTCAACGATGGTCTGCAAAGGATCAGGATTGATGCCCTAACACTCCCGCCTATGGAGGCTAATGTCGTTGATTCTCGACATCTGCAACGATTCTTCTCATAAAGACATTGAAGAACAATCTGCAAAGGATATCAGCATCAGAAGTATTGAAGCTTGGAATGGCGACGACTGTCTCATGTATGATTGTGAGAATAACCGGGTTCCGAAGAATCAAGACAAACATGAGGGGGAAGCCATTTAGTGAGAGGCTTCAGAAATTTCGAGATCCAACTTGCACAGCTGTCTTCATCATGATTGAAAAAGGACTTCTCTTCTGGAGGCCGAGATAAAGAGTGTGATGACGCGTTTGAAGGGTGCAATCCTTGAGGGCGGTTTGACATCTCTTCTGCAGGGCGGTATGAGGAGTGCAATGATATCTCTTCTACAGGGTGGTGTGAGGAGCGTAACGGCTTCTTTTGTTGAGAACAGTCTGACAAGTGTAATGATATCTCTTCTGCAGGCCGATTTGAGGAGTGTAAAGACTTCTTTTCTTCAGGGTAGTTGAAGAGGTTTAGTGACGCCTCTTCAAAAGAGTGGTTTGCGAAGGTTGGTGACACCTCTTTCGGTGGGCCGTCTGAGGAGTGCAATGGCTTTTCTTTTGGAGAGCGGTGTTCTGAGAGGTTTGACGGCGCCTCTTTTGAAGGGCAATTTGAGAAGTTTGATGGTGTTTCTTCTGGAGAGCGGTCTGAGAAGTTTGATGACTTCTCTTCTGGGGAGTGTTTTGAGAAGTCTGATGGCGCAAATACAGGATGGAGATACCTTGGCAAGGCTCCTGAGTCGGGTCTCGCTCGGTCACCACGAAAGCTAGGCATTTCACAGGCGATTAACAACAAAGTTGTTAAGGAGGGCTAAGCGGAGGACTAGGTTGGTCGGTCTAACGAGGGCGAGGGATTTATGTGCGCGCCCCCGAATTTATGAAGACAGGATTCATGGCAAAACATGATGAGACGTGGATCTCTGCCTGTCGACGATAGCAAACATAGCGCGCAACGAGATTGAGGGGCATGAACGCCACCTCATCATCTAGTTTGACGGAAGACTAACTTCATACTCTGAGTGATGGGGCAGTTGTAATGGTCGTTGTAGAGGTGTCGTACCTTAAGAGTCCCGGCCAATGTCAAAAACCAGGATGGCGAGAGTGAACAGAAGCAGGCCGATAAACGTATCTCGTCTGCGATGTTATCAGCGCTGCTTCAAGGAACTCATCAAGAGGAACACTCACAACAAAACTAAGAACGCCGAACAATGTTGTCACACTTTGGAACACTGTCCAGTCGTGTAGGAACAAACTCAAGGATTGAATAAGACCGTATACCTCTCCAGCCTCTCTCAGCTGTCAGGTAGTGGTTCAAAAGAGCCTGGAACGGAATTCACTGCTAGAAAATGGTGGAAAAAAGGAACGACGCGGCCAACAGTCTTAGGAGCTCTCATGATATGGAACTGTGGCTGAGCAAAAGGACGAATGAACAGAACAGAGACAAGAAGGCTACCAGGCAACAGGAGGACCTGCATGAGAAGGGGCCTTGGGCATCTGGAGGGATTGAAGCGTGGACAGTGTTGTTGCTGCAAGGGACCTAAGTTCTTAGAATCATTCATGGTCAAGACTAGCCATATGTATAGCTTTCCTGATCACAAATCTCGCTTGCGTATTCTGGTGGTGATAGAGTAGAGCTTCATTGTGATACATCCCTGTTGTACGGGAAGCGCGACAGGGGCCATCAAAGCCACAAAACGCCTTCAGGTCCGAGCGCTCACTTTTGCCTTGATTCTCTGAATGATGAGACGGTTCTGGCCCGTGACCCAATCGGAGAACCAGGAATGGTGTGATGAACTATACGCTGATGTCAAATGCGTTGTAACTCCTGGTGCGATACTGGTTTGACTTTCCGATTCACAAACCAACAGGTCTAACAGGGTGCTAAGAGTAAGGGATGTTCGAGGCTAGGTAGCAGGAGGATGGGCGCAAGTTCTCGTTCAAACTGTCACTAGGAATGCTATGGTGACAAAGAAGAAACCCTATCAACCCCAAGAGGAGATCTAAAGACGCGCAGATATCTCATGAATGGACTTTACAGTGACACAGAATATGTACCAAAGCTGCCCTCAATTCTGCCGACACCCCATCAACGAAGAACAACCGCCAAAAGGCGGGAGTTCGCTTGTCACACCTTCCTTTCGATACCTTCGAGGGTCTGCATCGACTGGTCGAGAGCTTGATCTAGCTCATTGACCCTCTCATTCATCGTGGCAAATGTTGTCGTGGAGTTAGCTCCGGAGTGCTCATTGGAGACGATCTGTTCGCAACTCGAGGATCTCCTCATAGGCAATTCATGGCCAACGTGGCCCATGTAGAGGAGTCGTATCTTGAAGTATAGTGTCTTGAAAAGTTCGGTCTTGAAAAGCCCACCCAACGCCAAAAGGACATTGCTGATCAAGAGCTGAATCTTCATACGTGAGTAAATAAGCGGTATCATGAAAATTCGACTTACTGCAAGCCACAATATCTTCCACGGACTGAATCTCTGAAGCCCGAAGGCGACAAGATTCATGACCAGAGACATAATCGATTGATACAAATGATAGGACATTACAACGCGGGTCTCGTCGGGCCCTGTAAGCCACAATAGTTTCGCTACCCAGCCCATCGAATAAAGACAACAAAGTGAGATGGCGAGGGTGTAAAGAAGCAAGCTGGCGAATGCACTTTGTCTGTGTATGTGGTGTCATCAGCACTATTCAAACAATGGAAGAGGAACACACACCCCAAGACTAGAGACGATACAAATAAACCAACAGCGAGGATGCTCGACAATATTGTCACATTTCGGACGACGATCCGATCATATAGTGACTTCCCTGGAGATTGAACCAGGCCGTATACCTCCCCAGCCTGCTGAAGTGGTTAGATGGTTGTCCAACGGAGCCGGGACGAAACTCACAAAGAGAAAATAAAGGAAGAAAAGAGCCACGCGGGCCACAAGGTGAGGAATGTTAACAAGTTGCGGTGCTGCTCGGGGGATGATGATAAGGGCAATTTCAAAAAGTATTTGGCAACAGCCATTCAGAAAACATAGAATACGGCTGATGTGTCTCAGTGACAACTTTGTCCAAGCCGTCACAACAAACAATATGGTGAAGAAGACACTGACCACGCTGCAAAGCCACGCGGGATCTTTTGTCGGAGCGGTCATGATGTTGAACTCCGGCTGAGCAAAGGGACAAATGAATAGAGCAGAGAAAGAAGGCAACCAGGCAACCAGGGTCATGCAGGAGAAGGAATCTTTATCTGGTGGGTGAGTGGAAGAGGTCGCTCTGATATGTCCCAGTGGAACTTTCCGAACTTCCAAGGCGTAAGCCCAGTTTCACTACTTCTCATGGTTGACAACCTTCAATGATGAACTGCTCCAGAGAGCTATGTAGGTGTGATTATCTTTGGCTCATCGACGAGGTTCGCATCTGTTCTGTGAAAATTCAGGACACCCAGGAGCAAAGCATGCCAAATCCGTAACTAGGCTTAACATTGAGGACTTGGAAAGACCTAAGGCCAAGGGAGGAGCAACTAATCCATATTAGGCCGAACTGCACCAAAAACCATTTTTTGGTGCAGTTCGGCCTAATATGGATTAGTTGCTCCTCGGTGCTTGTGACCCCCTTTCACCCGACTTCGTCGACTCAACTCTGTAAAGCACTTACCTCAAGTAAACATGGGCAACCACCAAAGTAACGAAGTTAGTCCAGACGTCTTGAAATCACTCAAGACCCTTGGAAAACAACTTCAGAACTGCGATGATGAAAGCAAGGCTCTAGGGAATCTCGTACGGAATTTCACACGGGCTCCTTCTACGCTGCTGGAAGCCCAACCAAAACTTCTGAAAGTACTTGAACCGATACGCCAAAGGCAAGCCTCAGACGAGGATATTGAAAAGTTTTTGACAACAATAAAACATAATCAGAACCCTCTCTCTTCGGACCAAGTCAAGCAAGTCGCGCCCAAGCTACGAAAATGGAGACTGGACGATGAATCAACAACGTCAAGACTCTCGGACGCTTCCCGGTGGATTGAGGACCCTTCTTATTTTTGGGGCGCAGCGCGTGATGCCCGTCCCGCGACCAGCGCAGAAGTTGTTCAAAAGTGCCTGCAGTATGAGAAAGACTACCTCCAGAATGACACAACACTGCTAAAACTACGTCGTCGAGTGATGAGGGAGATTATCTGTCTATTTACGACGTGTGAAAAGATCCGCACCGAGGGCAATAAAGGGGGGGTCAAACTTGTCACGGATGAGATTGCCACCAAAAAAAAGATTGATGATGCAGACAAGAAACAAAGACAATTGCTACATAGTGAAGTGAGGAAACGCACTGTTGCAGGACGCAGATGGCTCCGACTAGGTCGCGGAGTTTCACTCGGGGTTCATCAAAATGCTACCTCGTAAGTGATATGTCGCTTAAGTTGGGATTCTGATCATAGCTTACCGGCACCCAGTTTCGAGAGAAGTCCTCTAAGCGAAGTCGAAATTGATGCTGCTCGACAGTACTGTGGACAACTTCCTGTATTCGCGAACAATACTCTTTCGACTGCTTGGTTCGCCATCGTTAAATGGTTCGTTCAGGGTGAGTGCTTCAAGTTGTCACATTACTAACAACACTAATGTCATCCCCTAGATTTGTACGAAACGGCTGTACGCGACGAAGTTTTTCTGTACGTTGAAAAGGACAACAGTTATGACAAACAACCCAACATCAGAAAGAACATCAAAAAGAAGGACCCAGCGGCAGGAACAACGACTGCCTCCAACACCCCCGAGCCAATCGACGACACTGACCCCAATACCTGTGAACAAAGCGACGACACTACCTCCAATATCTCTGAACAAAGCGACGATACTGCCTCTGAAACCTCTGAACAATGCGACGACACTGCCTTCAGTACCCCTGAACAAAGCATCGATGTTTATGAAATCTATCATACACCATCAACTGGGCATGATTATCACCAGCCCAAGCGTCGTCGCCTGGATGGCGTGGCGCCTGTTGCAATCGACGAACAGATTCCCGATACGCATTCGGGTCTCAGGCTCATCCAACCTCACTCGGACAATTCGACAGATCTCAACAACTTCGAGAAAAACACAATCTCGGAGACACGGTCAGCGCAACACCCGTCGAATACACACCACGAGTGCTCTCCCTCAGGCGTCAACTCGAACGAGAGCAACAAGACTCCAGACGTGCACATGGACGGAGTCACTATGGAGGTCATTGAAGATCACAGACCCCATGCTGGCAAAGGAGATGAAATTTGGCCGGCTGCGCAGGACCTCGTGACTAATGAGTTCTGCCCCGGGAACGACGTACCCAGGATGCCCATGGACTTTGCATCTGAACAGGGAAGCTTGGACATACATTTGGATCAAAACGGTAACACGGCATCTTCCAATATCCCTCCTGATCAATTTACAAGCAACATGACGGAGGTATCTGTCGACAATACGACCCTACCTGAGCGACCAAATGGACTCCCTTGTCGAGTGGGCGAGGAAGCGCCTCGAAATAAAAATCCACCTTCAACAGAGGTAGTTGAGTCTTCTAACATTCATAGTCGAGAGGCCGAGGCCAGGGAGCAGATTGCCGGTTTGTCGTTCCTCATCTTCCAACATTAACCACTAACACAAGACAGGGACATCATGGACCTCCTCAAACAAGACAACTACTAATGGATGCGAAGACAGCGATTCTGAGTCTGGAGAGGAGCCACATAAACGGCGTCGTGTGGGTAGTGTCAGCACGGACACCACCGCGGAAGGTGATCGTGTCAACCTTGGAATGAGTCTTGCTCACGCCCAGAAGCCCAGTGAAGACTATGCAGACAAGTTTACCACCGACGAAGTTGCCGCCGACAACTTCACTCCACAAATGGAGATACATCCCCGCTCTGATGTCGTAGAGGTCGTCGACGCTCTCAGAACGCTTGCGGCCCTTGCCCCCATTCCACTCACTGACTGTGAGGAAAGATCCTTGGGAGATCATGTTGGCGAACAAGATGAACTTGGGCCAACTGCGCAGGCGCTCATGAGTGCTGATAGGCGCTCCTCCGCTGAAGGTGAAGAGGTCGACCTCGGAATATTTCCTGACGCCCTGATTCTCGGTGACGGCGCCCCATATCAGTCTACGGACTTCGGTCGGTGGCTAGATTACCTTGAAAAGAACAACGTTGAAGATGTGCACCTCGATAACGAAGAATTTTGCGTCCCAGAGTCTGAACACGACATTCAAGATTTAGACATTGATAACTGGCTCAATCTGGGGGATGGGTTTCCAAATCCGCATTGGTAGGCATGGTACTATAATTGCATTCTTCAGCCACATCATAATCAAGCAGATCAGGATATCACAGCAGCCTCAGTCGGTTCTTTTCTGCATGGACTTTGCTCCTCCCTCTTGCGCTCAATTTTGTAGGGTATGAATCGTGAGGCGATCCCTCCAGCCCTGACTTGAAGACCTTCCTTCCCTCCCTCGAGAGCGAGAATCTCACCCACCTTACAAGTGAAAGGGCTACGACTGGGAGGATCGTCATGCGACTTCAAAATTGCAACTTGCCGTTCCTCGTTGAGCTTGTTGGTGAGGGCTTGATCAGTTATTTTTCTGGATGCAGGTGTTTTTCCCCCCTCAGTGATTGTCTGGTCGGCATCGGGATGATGTGCTATCTGAGGATCGCGAATGATTATCATCACGCAGACTTGATCCGCAAGAATGTAGAACGATTTCGAGGCAAAAGTCCAGCTCTCCGGGCCTTCCTTCCGAGAAAGTGATAATCCCTTTTTTCCATAATAAGCGAGAATAATGGGATGCTAATGGCTATCAGTGGTGATAAAAGGTTTGTGGACAGGATTTCAGCCTACGTAGAATTTATTGTACAGCTCGACCAGCCTCTGGGCGTGTTCGTTGGGTTCTTGTGCGCTTGGGAGATGTCGCCAGATCCCTTCTGATGCTGGTTCTGGGATGAATTCTTCCGCGGGCAGAGTGACTCGGGCCGCGACATCGCGAAACTCTCTGTCGGTGGGAATGGTGAGCATGTTTGCTCTGCGAGGGCTCCAAATAGAGAACCTGAACGTAATAACGTCCCTGAGGCTTGCTATATATGCTTTTCAACAACGAGTATTTTGAAAGCGGGCATCCAATGCGACATCAATAATTACCCAGGCCACGTAGAACACTGATATGATGGGCAGAAACTGACACATCATCATGCATGGCGAGTTTCCAATCACGAGATTGTGCGAAAGGAGCGACAAAAAGCGGATCTCATTAACCTATCTGGGACATAATATCTCGCCGTTGTAGTGACGTAAGCACCGATGACAGCCTGTCTTGGTTCCTTGCTGCGTGTATTGAACCAATGTGGAGAGAATTCACTATGCATCAGCTCAATCACCGCACCACGATGTATCTGTTGAGCACTATGTTCAGCGCACCACCGTACACAAACTGACAGTCACCTCTCACCGCAGGAAGGATCCGGGTTCAGGATTCGCGCTCTGGAGCCGGTTCCCTAACGGTGTCTCCGTTGTTCGCAACTGGACGATTAAGTTGATTCCAAACAGCATCCGGGGTAAACCTCAAGTACTGAATCTCTTCTTTTTCAGGGAGAGAAGGATTTTGAGGTGAAGTCTGGGGAGCGCCATTGGTCGTGGCCGGGTTTTGTGGCGTCGCATCTGAACTGGCAGGTCCGTTGCGAGGTTCGGACAACTTCTCTGGCATGTTGACTTGGTAACCAATGTTAGAAGCAGGAGGGTTTTTGATTGCAGAAGTCTGAAGTCAGGGTTTTGGAATTGTTCTTTGAAGGCAGTTTGGGCGAAGCTTCAACCTAGTCTCAGCGGAGGCGCGCGTTCTTATACCTGGAGATGGGCACGGGAATTTACAGAGAATCGTCTCTGTGGTGCTCATCATCGATCAGGATACGCGGGCAACTCGGCTTCAGGGGTTCTGACCAACGACCGCCATGGTCCTCTGCATTGTTGTCCGCTTTCGCTAGTGAAGCTCGCTTCCCGCTCGAGGTTTCGGCTACATTTGCGCGTCGATCAAGATTGCAGGTATCTCAGAACGACCTGCAGAGGCCCTTGTCGAAGACTATCGACGCAACATCCTCGCAACCCGCTCGTCAAGCTGCAGGATTATGTCAAAAAGAGAAGTGGCAGACCGGTATGCGACCTATATTGACGGGTCGTAGTGTGCTTGGAAGCGCAGACTTGAGACATGGCTGTCTCGATAATGCATTGAGGGTGCTTGCTAGCGACTCTTGAGGCGCAAAGTACTTCAAGGGTATGCATGTCTTGCCCCATATCACAGGACGAATGTACCTTCTGTGGAAGACGCCCTCGCGTCCTCGTCGATGAAAGCTAATCATAGACGCTAGCCTCATGCTCTACCTAAGTGAATTATACCTATCAACGGAGGTAGCATATCCTCGAAAGCCCCTCTTATGCGACAAGGGCCACTGCACGTTCCTGGCCGCCCCCTGGCCAACGATACGAATTGAAGTATCGAAATGGATACAACGACTGGCCATGGCGGGGCCAAGTCAGCGCGACGGGCGTGAGTTGCAAACTATGTCAGCTTTTGATTGTACGCCTTAGCGACGCTTATGCTTGAAATATTGAGATACTCTACTTTCTCCTTTCTGGCGGGTATATTGTGTACACTGCAAGAGATTTTGTGCACGGCCGGAAGCCGTCGTGATGCATGTTCACGGTATGGATGTATCTCTTTTAGGAGATTCGATACATACACATGGATGTGTAATTATTCATAGCGTTCAAACTCGCGGGAATCCTGATAAACTGCCACAATGAGGCGCCTACATTACACGTCGTGAAGCCCGGGTGCTATTCCGGATTAGGCCAATCGAGGTTTACGTCCGATGCGCCAAGCTTTCTTTCGGCCGAACAAACCCCCATTGAGCAAAACCCCATTCAAATCCTAAATGGAAAGCTATCCTGGCATTAATCCACGGTGCCGAGATATTACAAAACCACATCGCAAAACCACATTGCAAAACCACATTAAATGACCCAGTCGTGTTTCTGCACCTAATAAAGCGAAATGACGTTGAAGCTGGGCATGGCATGCGTTCCTCCGAGTGACGAGCCCAGTTCCGACACTGGACATTGGTGCCCAACGTGTCATTAACTGCTCGTCAGGTGGTCCTTCCTGCAAACAAAATTTCCTGGCTTAACGCACTCCCCATCAACTTCAACCATCACGATTCCAGATTTATGGTGAACGTGGCTCTTGGAAGACTGCGCATTCCCATATCTGTCGTAAATCTCGCTTCGGCAGATTTTGAAGTGCCTGTTGCCTCAATCTACTCTACACACAATCTAAGCTTCTACGACAACACTCTGCCAGCCTTTCCCGCGACGATCGCTCTACCTTGCCTATCAATTCGAGTCTAAATACGCAGTCCGACTGGATATTTCCATGGTGAGTATCTAATGTAATTGGATGGCATATCTAACTCTCCCGCAGGGCTCCATAAACTTCACCGAAGAAGACCTCGACCCAAAAACGATAGACTTCGATCGAAATGGCATTGATACTCCTCACCTCGCTCACGGGTCAGGTCAAACAGTATATTGGCGGGTTTGCGAGCAGGTCGACCTCGTCCATAAAGTTAGAGGGGAGCTCAAAACAATACGAACCATAAAAAAGGAAACTGGGAAAGGAGTGCTTCCAACAGGGTTGAAACTGAAGTTTCTGGGCCCTGGTGGGAAGGTAGTGGAGAAATGACATTGAGCGTCACATTTTCTGAGATTCTGTCCCTTCAAACAGTGTACATTTTACCAAATACCCTTCGGCTTCCCCCATGTTGATAGTGAGAATTCCATCTTCTTGAGGATCGCAGGAGATTCGCATAGTTACGAATCTTGTGATACGAATTCCCTGTTTCAATTCTTTCTTGCGCGCGGGACTTACTTTGATAAAATTGCCCATATCTGAACCAAGGAGCTTTGAAATGGCCGCGTCCGGAGCCCCCGATATAACCAACTCTGGTTGAGGCGTTAATCTTCTCCCGTTTTCTTCAATGATAACTCGATATCCATCCTCGGATTCTACATGTACACCGAACAGCTCCATTGCAACATGTTGGATCTTACTCGAAAGAATTACCAGGCTCATACAAACCATACCAAGAGTATAAGGGAATACCATCTCAACTTTGGCTTGATCACCATCTTTCTTCACCGTGCTGCACATATACTCTGGGAAAAGGTTCGGTAAAAGTTGGGCGGGTGGGTCTGACACTGTCTGTTGCTTGAAAGATCGTGACGGTACAGGCAGATCGTTCGATATTTCCCTCGTAGCCGTAGTCGATTCCACGTTCATCTCTACCGTCATGGCATCGTTATGATTAGGGGATACCGATGCTTCAGATTGTGGCATCTGTTCGAGCGTTAAGTCCAACTGTATTTCGCCTGGTATTGACTTCGGAGATTCCGCTGATCCTGATAAATGGTCATGGTAAATATACGAGATGAACAAATTTCTGCACAACTCACTATTCTCTTGCCGTTTCAAAAGTCGGTCAATTGCAGCCGAGACAGTCTCGTGAGCCTGAGTATTGATGATATGAGTTGCCACCTCTTTTTTGGACTCAACCGAAAGCTTTTGAAGAGTATCAATAGCCCTGAGTTTCTCCGCCCGGCCGATATAGTGATTCGAACTGCCTTGCCCAGCAAGAAAATAGGATATCCAAGCCTTAAACCCAGTGTCGAGTAGAATTCGTTCAGTATCTTCTTTTGGTAGGCCTTGTGCTCTTTGTAGAGCTTTATCAAACCCATACGGGGTTTTCCTCCTCGTCCACTCTTCGGTAAGGGGCTTCGCAAAAATTGAGGCGATCTCTGAAACGTCTTGATCTGACATGCAAGCTGCGAGGTATCAACGCTGGAGAGAGTATTGCAATGTGGTTGTCATCAGAAGTCTCGGAAGTGAAGAGCTTTGGGAAAGAGGATGGGACTTTGCTCGAAGAGGATGGGGCTTTACTTGACGATGGGGTTTTGCTGAGGGAGGGGTCGTCCTTGCTGCTGGGCTCGGGCACATGCTTTCGGCAAGTACTACCCCTCTTGGTCTCAATCCCACATCGATTTACACCTCCAATTAGACGTCTTCATCGAACCGTCATTCTGCCGGACCTCGATTGTGAACCTGATGACGTGATCGCGCACTATTGGCTGAAATGGTTGTTTACCCCAAGTCAGGTCTGGTGCGCTGGCTTGAGCAGAGTCTAGCTTTGCTCGCAGAAGGACCCTGCCTCATTCGCAAGTGCATAGGACGATGCATGTTCCTATGGCAGCAAAGAGGAGAGCACTGCAGCTTCTTCGTTATATAGGCCTTCTCCTTGCAGCCCATTCTTGACAAAACTTACCACGGTAGAAATGAACGGCTTGTTATACAATCGCCTTATTATTTACGTAGCGTTATACTCGAAATGGTAAGCGATTGTCTCAATCCGGTGCTTGGCTGCTTGCTAATCGAGACAGAGTCTTTCAAGTAACTAGATTCAGACTACCATCAAGAGGAATGGCCGACCGACGCTCAGACTCCTACGATGGCGTCCCTGAAGAGGCAAACATCGCTGTCAGAGTCCCGCCTAAAGCCTTCAAACAACTTTCTTCGTCTTCGGATGCCGTCAAGGCAAAGAGAAATCAGAAGGGTCTGAAGTCCCTCGAAAAGGCGGCTCGAAAGGCCGGAGAAGCAGCAAGGAATGAAGGAACTGCTCAGAACCAAGGTGATTCTCAAGGGGGAACATGAAAATGAAACTACCTCAACAGAGAAGTTCCACTTTGTCCTCAAAGGCTTGACGGAGCTGCTTATCATATTTCTCTTTATCCGCTAGTTTCTTATTAATGAATGGAGTCGTCGCAATGGTCCAATATTCCATCATAATCGTGTAAAAGTCAGCGTTGTCTTCGTGCCCTTTGGCGAGTATCGGCTGGATATGATCGTAGAATACTCGAACAAGACCCGTTGGACTGCGAAGAGCCAACGTGTACCAAAAGGTTCCCATTTCCCATGCTTGTTTCATGATAACGGAAAGTCTGTGTCGGGGTTGAACGGAAAGCCCCTGCTCAGTTTGATTTAGAACATCTAGGAACTCGCGACGAACGGGGTCGTATATCTTCTCATCCATCTGGTCAATTGCCTGATTCGCTAGCCAGCGAGGAGGATGAATCATCTCGATAGGACAAGAGAAAGCCCATTCAAGGTCAATAAGATATGTGATGTTCCAATTTTCATCAACAAAAATGTTGCTCTGATGTAGGTCGGTCAGGCTCAAAACAAAAGGTCCATGGCGAAGGTCGCGCCGTAGAAATAGTGATGAGGTAGCTTTCATAGCGGCCAAAGCTGATATCTGGTAGATACAATCTGCAGTATCGCTAACACCATTTGGTTGATGGCGCAGCCGGCTATCGTGTAGACAATTTATCGTATCTATCACATAAGAGTCCGTGGAAGTGTAGGTTAGATGACGAGGAATATCAACGGGAATATGCTCATTCTCCAGCTGATGCATTGTTAGCGACAGTGGCCTATTAGCCAGATGTAAGAATCCGTCATCGTTCACGGTGAAGGAGCCAATGCGCGGAAGTGGTACTTGAGCGATATTCAAGAGAATCCGGGACAAGTTTTGAAACAGGTTCCTGCGTAACTCCTTCTCTTGATACCTCTCATTCCAGGTGCATGACAGCATTTGACCCTCATGTTTTTCAATATAGTCGATCAGAAGATAGCCAGAGCCCAAAGAGTTCAAGGTTGCTTTTCCGCGACGAATGTATCTCGAAGGGACGGGGAGTTTCAGCCAACTAAGCAGTCGGCGATAGAAATGGTGTGCCACTCGGAGAGGGAGAGGTAAGTTCTCAATGGCGGTAAACTGATTTGAGGTTAGCAAGGTTCTAAAACCCGAGTATGATTGAATTCCTCTTACTCTCTGGCCTGTCGAAAGTCCGAACCCATAGAGGCGCGGGATTGGGATGGATCGACAGTTTTGCTGAAGCCAAATGTAGGTGCCAGCTTCGCAACGAAGCTTTTCGTCTGCATTTTCTGCGCCGCCCACCTTATACGGTAGAGGAAATCGAATAATAACCCTTTTTGGTGGTTGTCCTTTCCAGCTAGAAATGGAGACCGGAATACACAGATTAAAGCTGCCATAAATCCACTCTTCAGGTTCTGCCACTTCGCATTGTTGGACGTTCAATCCAAGATGATGCGCAGTTATTATATTGATAACAGTCCTATGTCGGTACAGGTGATTAAAGAAATTGCATCGTCGATCCCATATCGTAAGTCTATGCAAAACGTTCGATTGGTCGTCCTTCACGTCCGCATATGAGATTTCCTTGTCGGAGAGTTGAAGTTTTGCCGGCATAACATCACTTGTTATTGCGTTGACAGGCGGAGTAAGAAGAAATTACAATGAGATTGGCATAGACAATAGAAGGTAAAAAAAAACTCTGCGCGAAAGTTCAGACAGAAGTTTGATTCCTCAATTGTCCTTTGGTAGAAGGCGGCTGTTGGTATGTTGGTCCTCGTTCCCCTTGTTCTCGACGAGTCTGAGAAGGAGGCTGGGAAAACTTCGGCCTTCGGTGGCTGGGTGAGAAACAAATCTCAGGGGAGATTGACGTCACCAGATATATAGGACGAAAGATTTTCCGCGTTAATCAAGCTGGCACCTACGATTAACCCGGGCGCTTCCCACCCTCGGATGTCGGAGAATAGCGCTTCGCCAGCCCTGTAAGCGTAGACTCCGCGACGCTGCTTTTGCCCACTAGTCACGGGATAGACTCAGAGCCAATCGTCGCCGTTGTCGCTGGTCCCCACCGGGGTGGGCATCAACATCACACCGCCCGCGCCCAGCCGCCCACGACTGGTGAGACACTGGTGGTCGCTTACCCAGCTCGCCTCGCTTGGCGCGAGCCAGGGGTGAGCACAGAGCGGCATCACCCTAGGCCGGAAGCAGGGTGAGGCGCGAGCATGTTTTTGCTCATGTTGGCAGATTTTCGACTTTGGCCGAGGAACTTGCAAACAGAAGTCACGGACTCCATCCAATTGCGGCGAGGCCAAGGGCTTTAAGCGACCCTCAAGGATATCCCTAACAGAGGCATGAGCTCAATGTCAAGGTCGTAATAACTGGAAGTTCCGGCTACATTGGCCAAAACATTCTTTCGCAGTGTCTTTTGTCTCAATATTGTAATGTTAAAACGACTCCAGAAAAGAAAGAATGAATTGAATCGTCCTCCCACTACTTCCGGTAATTGTCCTACAGGAATACAGTATCTTGAGTGCGGACAAAGGCTTGACCAATAAGACATGCCTATCTGTGATGCGCTGTTAGTTTTGTATCACAATTCATATGCGAGATGTTCACCCTCAGCTCGCAGACCTATAGATCAATTCAACCATTGCTGACTCACTGTCCCCCTTTATGTCATTGAGATGATATCTTGTCTACGCTTTCACTGCCAGCCAAACTGCAGCCCCTTCAGTGTTGCAACGCCAATTATAACATTACAAAGACGCAGGAAACTTACTAGTCTTCCATACATGCTAGGAAAACATCAGTCTTGAAACCAAGGGTGTTCTAGAAGTTTTGCAGCTGACGGTCTCTGTGACGGATCGTACTGAAGTATGCCTCGGATAAGAGATGTGATCACGCTTGCTTCTGTCCCATCCATGTTCTCGGGCTTGTTCTTCTCGAATAAGAGCTCCAGAGGCTCGTCGATATATGGTTCTTGCTGATAACCAGCATTCTGGCCGGCGTTCGGATCCAACCTCTCCCGATTAGGACCAAAATATTGGTTGGCGCGTGGCCACTTATGTTTGAGCCAGGCCTCCGGCAATGGTCCCAAGATATCGTTCATCTGCAACAGATGATCATCGTCACCACTCTCTTCTTCGTTCGGACCAAGCTTAGGAACACAAAACAGCGTGTCTCCGGTCAGAAATTCGTAAACAAGGCATCCGAAGCTCCAGATATCAATGCTTGAATTGACTACTCCTCCCAATATGAGTTCCGGAGCTCTGAGAGCGTCAGGTGTGACTACTGCTTTGGGAGGGGTTTGAGTCAAGAACGCTGCACAGATATTAGAACGATGACGTTGAATATCGGATTGAAAAACACCTTACCGGAACCAAAATCTGAGATCTTCCACAACATCCTGGAGTCGATAGGCGTATATCTTAGAAGTGATTGATCTAGATATAGGCGACGAGGAGCCCATATATCTTCGAGGCCATCAATTCGTTGAAGAGTGAGAGGCTTTGGGTAGTGATCCTGGCCTGACTGATCTTGCTTCAAGTCATCTTCACAGAGAGCATCGATTTCAGAAGTGGCTGGAAGTATATTTCCAGGCTGTAAATCCGCGTGAACGATGTCGTTCTTGTGCAGAAAGGCCAGTCCAATCAATGTATGCTTCAAAATAATTCTCGCCATATATTTTGGATAGCGAATTGTCCGGTCGTATGTCCTGTTCTCGAATGGTATGAGCTCTTCGGCCAAAGAAGCAGCAGTCGGTCCCATGGGCTCAGAGACAAGACAAAGATGGGTCCCATTAGGTCCTTGGTGCTGGAAAATGTCCCGATAAATCAGAATATGCTTGGCCATTGAATCATCAGAGTGGTCTTTGATCCTCTTTATAATGGACAATACGGGTTCGGGCTTGAGAGATGCTCTGGCTTTCATCACTTTCAATGCCACGTAGCGTGCATTTCTATAGTCTGAGTTAGTACGATAAACTCCCTTCAGTTCTATTGGGATGTTACTGACAAATGATCTTTTGCCAGCCAAACGGTTGAAAAAGAACCATAACCCAGCTTCCGTATCACCCTATATTGTCCATCTTTGAAAGAGTCACCCAAATTCACGGGATGAAAGCCACCCGGCCGGTACGCTTCGGCCCATTCAGAGGGATAGTCGGTTTCCAAGAACCGCCTGTCGCTATCAGTCTTCGGCAATTCGAATGAAGGAGTCCGTAGTTGTGATGGCATTATGATAGCATGGGGGAGGAGAAGACAGGATGTAAAAGTGTCCAAAGGATATTTAAAGGTTGAGCTGGATCACAGCTAGGCATAACGTCGCCAAGCCCTCGCCTGAACAAAAGCCCCTTACCGAAACCCGAATAACTCTCCCACAGCTACCGCCCTCTTAGAAGACGAATTTAACATCAGCGGCTACGAAGTTACAATATTCTGCTTCGAACAAGGGTCTGGCGCTGACACTACCCGTAACCCATCAGGGGGATGGCCTCGTAGCGGATGGCCAAGGCCAGCATCCCACATAATCTGTAAACAGAGCGAGCCGCTCGAGTCAGCCAGTGACCGAAGCCCTTGCCACGCGCCTTTGTTTGTGATTATCGTTTCACGGATGCCTTCAGTGGTTGAAGTACTATTCTTGAGGCATGATGAAACACCCATTTTACCAAATGGCGGCAGGGCTAAATCTATCCTACATACAAGTTTTGACCCGACATCTATAAGAACTCTGGTTGCCGGGTCTATCACATCGACTCGCTCAACAATCATATCTTCAATTTCAACTCCCGTGAGATTCAGTCAGATCTCAAGCGTTTCCTCTAGCCGAGTACATCTTCACCTATGGCCCCTCGCAACCCTCCCACGGTAGAATGGCGCAACACACGTGCCTACCGGAGAAATCCTGCAGCTAAGGCATATTTCACCGAGCTCGTCAGAAACTATAGCGATATCCCGAGTGACTGTGTCAAGGTAGTCATCCTGTAAGAGAGAACTGCCATCATGAGCCACTTAATCAGTTCAATGCTGACAGGCAGCAGTATTGGGCCTCACACTAGCAGATCAGATGGGAGGTTGCATTTGACAGTCGAGTACTTTGATAGAAGAAACAAGGCTCGTGACCAGAAAGGCCACATCCCCCTCCCAAGGGACGCACCATATGGAAGGGATACTGGGTGAAGGGTTGATAGCTTGACGTTCGTGTGGCAACTGTTGAACCAACATGGTCGCAATGATTCGATGCATTCGTCTGTCTCGGCACCATTTTTTTTGGAAAGCGTCCTTGGGCGTGCAGAATATTGGCTGTCCGGTCGGAGAGACGTCCCCGAGCCTTTCCTGTATTTATTAGTTGTAACAGCTGGTACAGACGCTCAAGGCAAGTAGACCATACAAGAAATGATATTGGCAGACCGAGATAAGTGTGCTCTTCGAACCTTGCCAGATTAGATGCTGGATTGGTGGCCTCGTCACTGGTTTACCCATAACTCAACGTCGCCGCATTGAGACCCTCCCATTTGATCACAGAAGTAGAAACATGTTGACAGGACTGGATTTGACCTTCTGTGTGCGGTATTAAACGTCGTCGACTCCGCCGTGACCATGTGCGTTCTTTTTCCAATACTGAATCTGCATACTTTGTTCACGGAGAACTGCCTTCTCTCAAATATGCTCCGCCTCGGGTTCTCAGCCGTTCGGAACTTTAATCGAAAATCGCTCTTCTCCTACGTGTTGCGCAGCGCATCCCTATCTTTATGATGACGATTCGCCAAAACCCTGTAGCCGGTACGGTACATCGTTCACGCCGTGTTTTTGAAAGATGTCCCGCCACATAGCTTCAGATAGGAGGTCTTTGAGCTTCCGGGCTTCTGGCATAGGATATCGGGTTGTTTCTGGAAACAGGAGTTGGATCTTGCCGCCTGCGGAGTCCTCTTCCACGCGTCTTACCATCTCTTCAGCAGGAGGTTGAACGCACTCGGATGTTGGCGAAGCCATCGCTCTGTGAGGAAGGTTAATATTGTATAGCAAAATATTCTAGGACTGTGGGAGTTATAGGTAGGAGGAGTTGAATCGTTGAATCAGTGGTCAACTTGCAGTTCTCAAGTTTTCGGAGATGTTGCAAAGCCTGAAAGGAAACTGCGACACGCGGCCGCGTTCTTTTATCGACACAGTTCCCGAGCTAACAATAACGGGGACAATCAGAGAAATCTTGTGTCCTTCCAAGATACTGTAATGGTTGGCGTAATCTCTTAACATGACCTTTCTTGATTAGCATTGGACTACTTAGGTCTCGGCACACTTTCCTCTTTTGACAGGACAGGCCTGGAGTTTAGCCTCGTCACGAAGACGACGTCACCAACAAAGTGAACCGAGTACCCAGATAGGTCCTTCAGAGAACAGAGTCTTTCCAATCCAGATCAACCGGTCTAAGTCATCCTGCCTTGCGACTAGCAGCACTTTCAACCCCGTGAGAGTGAACTTAGTTGAGTATCAGTCAATCCAACTCCAAGTCTTCAACAGTCCTCGTGACCGCTATGCCAGCAGAAAGTGTGATTGACGCACACGCGGTCTTACATGCCTAGTTATATCGAATTTGGAGAGTTGACATGACTTGCATAGTTTTCTCCAAGCTCATTCACTACTTGCTCAATGGCGAAATAATCTCGAACATATGCTATTCACATTGTGTGAGGCAGTGGTCCCAAGATATTCTCTCGACTCGGTCATCGCCCTGCCCACAGGCTGCAGAGCTGACGCTCCTTATTGACGACGTTTCTCGCCATCGTCTTCACAATAGGAAATCTATGTTGAACTGCGGGATCCTACAAGATCGAAGAGACCAATTCATGGTAGATTTACAAGCGTCATGGAAACTACATCAACAGAATCACAGAGGAATACTCATCCGGTGTTGAAAGGTTGGTCAGCTTCGTTGGAAGCGAATTTCTCTCTCACGGCTTCTTCCAATTACAATTGCAGAAACAATCTTGACAATCGCCATGATTCGCGACATACCTTTGACTTTCGAACCTCACGCACTTCAGGATCAAATAGAGAACCTAGGCAATCCATTTTCTCGCGTGTACGCTATAGTCCTCCTCAAAGGGGAACCGACGACAGGGGTTCGCCTGACGAACCTCTGAGAGCCAATAAGGATCCTTTCGGTCGACGACGCAGAACGCGACTTCAAAGAAAAATGTTACCACGACGACGGCCAAGAATAGAGATTGAATATTTTCCAGGAACAATATTCATGTATCGCATTGAAGGCGGAAATAGAGGAATCAGGTAATTTGCAACAATTTTTGGGTCGCTCGCGGCTGCAATTCCCAGGTTCGAAAGCGAATCCAGTCTTCGGTAGCACCAACCCAACCACCTTCGAGGTTGATCTCTTCGAACGGTACCGCACGCTCTCGCCGACCTGAGGCCGTTTTCAGCAGTGCCACCTGGTTGCCGCTGGGACTGCGTCCAAGCACCCGGAATCTGAAACCTTTGCCGGTCCATGATGCGTAGACAGCTGCTGGCGGTCCGGTCGCTGCTGGCACCGTGCCTACAAAGATGTCCGCCAGTTTGACCCGCACATTGTTGATCTTAGCATCTCGATACTCGAATGGATGCAGAACTTGGTTGAAGAATCCTGTCTCATCCTGATAGATACGATTGGTCATGGATTCCTCTCTTCGGATGATTCTCGGTCTGAACCGTGCAAGTGAAGTTGGCTGTTCAGGGAGAGTGCCCATGCGAGGATGCCAACTGCGGCGGCGTGGTCCCAAGAGGATGGGACGTTGGGCGGATTCGCCTCGCCTGCCTTGATGGCTATTGTCATAAAGTCCTGGTGCTCCATTGTCAGAGGACCTGTGGCTCATTCCGGGATGCAGGTTCGCCGTGTCACCAGAGTCCGTGGGGTGATGAGAGTCATGCACTGCAGATGGACCCGCGGTCGCCCTCATTGATGAGGCATGTCCTTCAGAATATTCACGGGTGTGTCGCGGATTATTGTACGGAGAGTATGCCTTGAGATCTGGGAACAATTTTCTTCCACTCTCATTCTTCCATGCACCCGAATCATCTACCATACCATCATCGATCTCTTTCTGCGTAGGGCTGTCACCTTGTCAGTTGAACAGGTCTCACATCGTGAAGGCAGCTTCACTGACCTGCGCCAGCCAGGGACATGATTTCTGGGCCGAAGAGCTTGAGGGTAATATTGGGGATCGGGTTGAAGGACAATTGCGACAGGTTCATGAGCAATCAACGCGCCCGCATTCCAGGTTGATACGCTATATTGACGCCAGAAGTACTTCATTCTCGTGAAGCTAACTCCTCGTGCTTCTTCGGAAAGATTGGACATGTAACCTCGGAGAAGATTGACGTGGTGTTGCCGCGGCCATGGTGGCCTACCGAGAATAACTCTATCATTCTTGCAATAGAACAGGCTTATCTTGTCTGGGTGGAGTGTCCGCGACAGTTCCTTTAGCCGTTTCTCGTAGAGGTCCCACGTCAAGTGTGCGGTTGGGGCGAGTCCAACGAGGTCAAATGGATCAAATGTGATAGCATTCATCCATAAGTCATCCTCCGCCATCTGTATCAGGTCGTCCTCCTCTTCCATATTAGACAGTACGAACGGTCGGTGTCAGGAGTCCAAGCAGCTTGATGACGTTGAGGTCGGGTGCTGGCGGTGGGATTAACAGGAGGACAAGAGATAGGAGAACGGTGAGAGGTCTTTGAGCCATCGTAAAGGAGGGGTAATCGAATAGAATCGAATGGCTAGATGCGATATTGGAGTTGCAACGAAAAGTCATTGCAGAACCAAACCTTTGCGCATGACAAGAGGTACATGCGCACAGCAATAGTACGGACTCTTTATTCCTGACTGATTAGTACTGAAGTCAGATCCTGAACTTACCCCAGGTCCTTGATCGACATCTCCATGGCCTTTGATGCACGAGTCGAGAGGTCGTCGACTTTGATGTGTTTGTCGAAGCAGTGACTTGACTTTTTTTCGCTATGGCAAGAGTGCCAAGCGAACCCCGCTTAACTATTTAGAGTTTAGCGCATACGTTGAGATGTCGCGCATCGACATAGGACCGGGCAATGGTAGAAATATCCCTAGGGACTCTAGTCACGGATGGCTACTAGCTCGCGTAAACCTGCACGTCTCACAGAGTGAACGCCGTCTAGAACAGGTTACGCGAGACACCCGATAACAGGGGTCCTATTAGGCTTCAATGTATCCTGGTCGCCTAAGCTTTGAATTAGCTGCTCACTGAGCGTGGTGCACCTAAATAAAATCACGTGGCGCGTACGGCAGCATCGACATAGCAATCACCCGAAACCTTGCCTCGGTCTCGTTTGATGGAATCTGTGCAATCTTCAGTCCATGTTGGCCTGAAACGGCACCTCCAGTATATACACATCGAAGTAATATACTAGAAGCTTCCTTACGATTTCCAAGCATGCGGAATTATTCCATAAAGCTTTTGTCCATGTCATGATAGTCGGTTGAGCCTCATATCACAACACCAACTAGGTTGACACCGTCACTGGATAATTCGATTCTTAGTTCTGGCATCATGCTAGGTTGTTTGGCGAGAGAGCTGAAGATTTCAGTTGTCAATGTATCAGGATCCAGGAGCAAGCAGAGGGATTGGACGATTTACATTCATCTCGTTCGGCTGTAGTTGTGCTTGCAGCGTACTCCTGCACAGACACGAGGACACGTTCATTTCGTGAGTGTTCGTCTTCGCGAGCTAATGTCACAGGAACTTCCATCGACTCACCCGACATCCTCTGTCGGGTGACTCTGCTCTGTCGGGATCGGTTACAGGATAGTCGGAATCGGGGTCGGGGTCGGAATCGGGATCAACATCCGCCATGGGTGTCCTCCGGACTGCGCGGCTGAATGTTCAATACAGTAACGTAATGCCTAATAGCCCAGCTGTATGATGATACGGAATGGTCCACCTTACCAAATGGTATTAACGACGCGTCCACTGAGGGTTGCGCCCGCTGAGGAAGCTCATCGAGC